ACTCCAAACCTTTCCTATTCATGGATCTATTCAAATGTCTTTTAAACATTGTAATTGTATCCTCACTATCACTTCCTCAGGAAGTTCATTCCACACATAAACCACCTTCTGTGTAAAAAAAACTGCTCTTCATGTCTTTTTTTAAATCTCTCCCCTCACCACCTTAAAAATGTGCTCCCCAGTCTGGAAATCCCCCGTCCTAGGAAAAGACAACTACCATTAACTCTATCTATGACCCTCATTATTTTATAAACTTCTGTAAGGTCATCTTTCAACCTCCTACACTCCAGTGAAAAACGTCCCAGCCTTCCTTTATAACTCAAACCTTCACACCGAGCAACATCCTGGTAAATCTCTTCTGAACGCCCTCCAGTTTAATGATATTCTTCTATAACTGGGCAGCCAGAACTGGACACAATATTCCAGAAGAGGCCTCACCAATGCCCTTTACAACCTCAACATGACTTCCCAACTCCTTTAGTCAAAGGACTGAGCAATGAAGGCAAGCATGCTAAACCAACCTGTCTGTATGAGATGCAAATTTCAAAAATGTATGTACCGGAACCCCTGGGTCCCTGTATTCTACAACACAACCCATTAATTGTATAATCCCTACTCTTTGTAAAATGCAATACCTTAAGCATCCAGATTGAACTCCATCTGCCACTTTTCAGCCCATCGACCCGTTTGATCAAGATCCCTTTGTAATCTTAAAAAACTTTCTTCACTGTCTACTAGGCCATCAATTCTGGTGTCATCCGCAAACTTACTATCTATGTACAACCAATCAATTCACAAAATAAGTCTACACCATGTGTGAAGTTATTAAACAAAATCCAAAAATGCTGGAGAAACTCAGAATGTCTGCCAACATCTGTCAGTGGGTGGAATGGTAGCTCAGTGGTTAGCACTGCTGACTCATAGTGTCAGAGACCCGGGTTTCGATTTCAGCCAATGGTAATTGTCTGTGTGGAATTTGTACACTTTTCCCTGCCTGCATGGGTTTCCATCAGGATCTCTGGTTTCCTCCCACCGTCTAACATTTTGAGTCCAGGGACTCTTTATCAGAACTGTGAAGTCATTCAACTCTATTGTACATCTGTTTTTCAGTAAGTAGAATGGTTCATTTTTAATTTTTTCATGAGAACTGACCTGAAGGCAATTTTGATCAATGTTTTGTATGACATTAAAGTGGGCAATTTGCAAAGAAATTAGATTGTTTTTAGAACAGGAAGGGGCAAAACCTGCTAAGGCTATTTATGCAAACTTCAAATTAAGGAAGGATACATGCTTTCTGGAGTGACTAACCAGACGATGACTATTCCTGTAATGAGGCATTGATATAGTTAATCTCTTGCACTTTTATGTAATGCTAGAGTCTTCTGAAGTTCCATAAACAATGTGCTGCATTTTGAGATTACTGATCAAGCAATGACATTTGCCATTAGATTCAGAGTTAGCTGCCCTCATTAAAATGTATGTTCTGTGTGGTATGAATAGGTCCATTTGAATAATGTAGGAAAACTTCCAGCTTCACAAACTCAACCTTTAAAAATGGCTGCCCGGAATTCCCAATTTTGTTGCATTGGGTTAGAAGACTTAGCACGAAGTCAGATGGATTTCCAGAAATCCAGCATCAGTGATTTCACCAAGCACTATAAGTAGCCAATCACATTGGGATACTCTCACAGACAGAAAACTAGGTAAAAAAAACACTGAATTGCTTCACTTCTTAAAAAAGCACAGATAGTGAAATAATCAATAATCAGTAAAGTGATGGAAGATGTTATTAACAGTGCTTTCAAGCAGCAACTGCTCAGCAACAACCTGTTCAGTGATACCCAGTTTGGGTTCCATCAGGATCATTCACTCCTGATGTCATTACAGCCTCGGTTCAAACATGGTCAAAAGAGCTGAATTCCAGAGGTGAGGTGAGAGTAACAGCGCTTCACATCAAGGCTGTTTTTGACTAAGTGTGGCATCAAGGAGTTCTGGCAAAACTGGAATTAGGGGGCAAACTCTCCACAGGTTAGAGTCATACCTGGCACTTAGGAAGATAGTTGTGGTTATTGGAGGTCGGTCATCGCAGCTCCAGGACATCTCTGCAGGAGTTCCTCAGGGTAGTGTCCTAGTCCCAACCATTTTCAGCTGCTTCGTGAATGACCTTCACTCCATCATTAAATCAGACTTGCTGATGTTCACCAATGAATGTCTAATATTCATCACCAACGTGACTCCTCAGATACTAAAGCAGTCCATGTTCAAATGCAACAAGATATGGACAATGTCCAGGGTTGGACTAACAAGTGGTAAATAACATTCACAACACACAAATGCCAGGTAATGACCATCTCCAATAAGGGACAATCTAACCACCACCCTTGACATTTAATGTTGCTGTCATCACTGAATCCCCCACTATCAACATCTGGGGTTACCATTGACCAGAAACTCAGTTGGACTCATCACATAAACACAGTGGCAACAAGAGCTGGTCAGAGGCTATGAATAATGTGGCAAGTCACCTCCTGACTCTTCAAAGCCTGTCCACCATCTCTACGGCACAAATCAGGAGCTTATGTAATGTTAGAGACTTATTAAGTGGAATAACTTGCCTGGATAGGTGCAGTTCCAACAATAGTCAAGAAGCTTGACACCATCCAGGTCAAAGCAGCCTGCTTGATTGGCATTACATCCACAAGCAACTTTTCCCTCCATAACTGATGCTCAGTAGCAGCAGTGTATATTATCTACAAGATACACCACAGAAATTCACCAAAGATTATTAGGCAGCAACTTCCAAACCCACGGCCACTTCCATCTAGAAATCAAGGGCAGCAGATACATGGGAACACCATCACCGACAAATTCTGCTCCAAGCCACTCATCATCCTGACTTAAAAATATATTGCTGTCCTTCAGGTCACTGGGTCAAAATCCTGGAATTCTCTCCCTAAGGCCATTGTAGGTTTATCTACAGCATGTGGACTGCAGCAGTTTAAGAAAACAGCTAACCACTACATTCTCAAGTTCAGCTGGGGACTGGCAATAAATTCTGGCCCAGCCAGCAATGCCCACATCCCATGAGTGAATGTAAGAAAATGATTGCTACGTGCACATGGGGTAATGGAAGCAAAATTCAATAAGCTTAAGAAATTTGAAAGATTATTTTTGTCATACTAGATTTTATATTGATCAACTATTAAACTACTCTTTCGGGGTCATTATGGCTATTTAGTAGTAATTATGAACTTGGTGTACAGTTAGAAAAAAAAGGTAACGTTTTAATGGCTTCACAGTAAAACAAGCATAACAGTGGAATTTCTGACCAGTTCAATAATTTTAAATTGATTGTGGGGACAAAATCTTAAAGAATTTATCCTGAGTCAAAAATGTAAAATTATTGACAGTAGTCTCAGGCTATCCACATTTAACTGCACATGGGTAGAGCAGAAGCTGCTGTCAGCTTCAGAGAAGAAATGATCGCAATTATTGACTATTTTGCTAACCTTACTACTGTGCTATTGTCCCTTAAGGAATGCTGTCTTCACCCTGCCTAGCTTATATGTGACTCCAAATCCTCAGTGATTTAGTTGCCTCTCAACAGGCTTCTGAAATTGTCTAGCAAGCCGACTTCTCAGAAACAGTTAGGGATGGACAACAATCTAGGCCTTATCAGAGATGCCCATGTCCTGTCGCTAAATAACAAAAAAAAAGATGAATGTTGGAATTTCTATAAATTACGTAGTTCAATAGAGAGTTTAAGTTTAATTTAACTCTGATTGGGGCCAGGTGGGTGGGAAAGTCATAAGATCTTGAGGTTTGGGGAAGAGGGAAATTGAAGTGTGGTCAAATTAAGTGGCCCATGATGTATCATAGAATCATAGAACCCCTACAGTGTGGAAACAGGCCCTTCAGCCCAACAGTCCACTCCGAACCTCAGAACATCCCACCCAGGCCCATCCCCCTGTATCCCACCTAACCTACACATCCCTGAACACTTTGGGCAATTTAGCATGGCCAATCCACCCTAACCTGCACATCTTTGGACTGTGGGAGGAAACCAGAGCACCCGGAGGAAACCCACGCAGACACAGGGAGAATGTGCAAACTCCAGATAGACAGCCACCCGAGGGTGGAATCAAACCCGGGTCCCTGGAGCTGTGAGGCAGCAGTGCTAACCACTGAACCACCATGCTGCCTCATTGGTAAAAGGACTGAGAGCTGCATATCTGGTCATTTTCTCGCTCTGATGTGCATTGGGCTAAAGAGACATGGAAGTAAAATAACAAAAAACATAATAAACATGCAATTTTGAAAGGTGTTTCAGAACAACAAACACACTACTTCCACATGTACAGCACCTCTTGGAAAAAAAATCCACAAAAGCAAAAGAATTCTGGCAATCCATCTATCTTCAGGCCTGCATTATTCAACACATGCTGTTTCCAGCAGCACAGGGACCTTCATACTCCATGGAGTGTCTAACTGTCCCAGTATAGGTTCACACGTTAACTTTGAATTGCATTCTGCCTATCCAAAAATGTGTGGCAGAAAGAAGACTTTTTTGATGTCTCTCTGTCTTGAAGCATTTTAATTTTGTTATGCTTCATCTGATTCTGAATTCACACCTGAGATTAAATGGTGTGCTTATTATCTCCATGCCTCTCAGTGTTTAAGAAATTCTTGATCACATATTTCATCATTTTTCCTTTACCTGATGAAAATAAGTTCAGCTCCATGGGGATCATTTGTAAATTAGAGCCAGAAATCACAATTATGTTTCAGAAACTTGTTTGCCACAGAGGAGATAGGGGAAAGGGAAAAAGCAATTACAAAAAAGGAAAAAAAATAGAGTGAATTATATTAGCACATGACTAGCTTACCACCTTCCACATCAACATCAAAGGTTTTGGTCCAGTTTCCATTATTTGTGACAATATGACAGCTATACATTCCCACATCATTTGTTGTCACATTCTCTATGGTCAGACTGATGTTTTGATTGGGCGAGTGGATAAATTGGATTCTTTGCTTGTAGTCATAGCCAATAAACGATTGCGAAGTTGTGACATCAACTATGGTACTTATTTCTTCTCCAGCCGTCCGTTGCCATGTCAACTGTGTAATACTGTCCACATTTGGATACGCACAAGATAAGGTCACATTGTCCCCTGGCACAAAGTGCACACGAGTGTCTGATGTCCGACTTCTGGGAAATTTTGCTTTGGAAATATTTGAAAAAAAATTAGTACAACATAATTTCATGACAGTTGTTTAAATTCTGACTAGGTTTGAGGCTTGAGCAAAGACATTTTAATTCACATTCCCCAGATTATGGTTACATGTTATTTCTATTGTACCCTTAGCTTGAATGCATTATGTATGTATTTACCAGTGGAAAATGGGAATCAAAAGGAGGAGAATCTAAAAGGACTCAGATTTAGCACCAGTAGGCTTCTGAGCAGTTGGTGAGTACCAAGAGGCAAACTCAATCATTTTCGTGTGGTTTTCATTGACATCAGTAACTTTCCAATTGGTGTTAATTGATGATTAAGAGTGAAAACTGCATTTCACATTTGGAATGGTTTGTCTGCCATATCTATTTATTGATTCATATTTTTTCATTATCTTAGTAACAATCATATAAAGGGATGGCGGTATAGGCAATTATTTTAGTAAACCAACAGAAAAAAGCCTTTCACTTTTCCAAACTTCACAGATCTCTTTGATCAAAGGAAGAACCTTTTCTGACTGCCCTCAATTGTTGGCCTGACCCTTTTTTTTCTGTTTATGGAAGCTATTTTATCAAACATCTCTGTTTTTATTAAATACTAAGAGGCATTACTATCAAAACCTGGAAGACCAATTTCAGACTCAAAATATATTTTAATGATAAGTATCTTGGCTGAAATTCTTTCAGGGATCTTCTAAACTGTTGTCAGAACTTCAGCAGGAGATCAATGTAACACCTGCCCTTGATAAAATCATTCATTTATGCCCCTGCCATAAGTTCCCCTGAGATACCTGGGGCTGCGTGGGTGGGGAGGTAGTGCACACTACTGTTTAACTTTATTTCTTTTTTCTATACTATATTAAGAATGACTGTAATGTTTAACTTCTAATTTTCTTCTTTATTTCTTTCTGCTTTTCTTAAGATTTCATACCTAAGTGCTTGTACCTAAAATGGTGCCAAGTGTGGTGACATAGTATACTTTTCACTGTATTCCTATACTTTTGTACTTGAGCATGTGACAATAAAATCTAGAACTAAATCTAAATTTAATCTAAATCTACAGAAGTTGTACTTTTGTACTTTGTTTTCAAATATCATTCTTCACATTTCACAGATGTCTATGTCTGTCTATGGGATATTTCTGTATCTATAGGTGGTTTTACAAACATTTACCATTTTCTACTACTGCAGGTTATCTGACTACCCTGTCTCATTTTTCGAGTTAATTTTATTCACATGTCTCATTATTTACTGTAGTTGGAATACACATCGGATACACATTAGGCAATTACTCATGGCGTCAAGTGCAGAAATTTTTAAAAGCATTGATCTTTTTGGATGAAATGTAGGTGGGGCCATAACTGGAGTAAAGCATACCTCAGTCCCTCATTTTTAAAAAGACACATTCTCTGTTTATTTTTATATATTATTCTGATATGATATTATTACTTGTGGATAAAAAAGCAAAAGGTCCAGCAATTTGGGTACCAGAAAAGTAGAGTTTATTAGAATGTCAGAAGTTTCTCTGCAGTAGAAGTGAAGGAGCTGGGAGGTGCAAACTGAAGCAATATAATCACATCACTGCAATTACACTGTGACAAGTTTACATGGGCAATTTCAATTATCAATGCAGAAGTACTAAAACACTCTTGTATCTATGTGTGCTTAAAATCCAGATAGACTAATTATTGCTTGCTTCTTCAGTTGATTGTGGTCAGATTTTATATGGCTTTGTTTCCTCACACACAATAATGAAACTGTTAGCATGCTCACACTAACTGTTCATTAAAAATAAACAGACTGGTGTCTGTGCCCTAAAATTACTGTCAGAAATCCATGCAAATGGACAGTGCTAGGAATCTGGCAAAGATGAAACTAAATACCTGGTTCCACAACATTCACAACATTTACTTCTTTACAAATGATCTTTAAAATCATTTCGCATAACTCATATACACCAAAATATCTTTATCATGTGAAACTGTGGAGGTACAACGAAGAGAGAAGAGTGAATAACAAACACCAAACCAGAAGAGGTTTTAGTAAGAAAAAGCTGTTGTCTCTGGTATTGAGTGATAAATAGCTAATTATATTCTGCACCTAGAACTAAGAGAAGGGGAAAAGAAATTAACATGGATGGAGAGTACACTTTGGAGTCTATTGGACTGAGCTTTACACGGCTGAAGAGAATCAATAATAAGCTGCAGAGACAAATAAACCAAATTTAGCATTGAAAATGACAATAGTGTAATCATACGTATTGATCTTTGCTCCCTGCAGCATACCAATTATGGGCTGCAGAGAACATTACATTTTCCATTATTTTAAGCAGAGTGAAACCAACCTGATAAAACCCAGTAGGTTCATTAAGTAGTCACATTCTATTTATAAATAAAACAAAGGGATTTATCTAGACGCAATGAATGTGTTATCCCACAATGACTCAAGCATGCATACAGGGATTGGTCTTCTCAGCAACCTGACTGCGGAGGTCACTGCCACCTCAAACCTTATCTCACTCAACATTCACACTTGGTAATTTCCTCATTTGGGTTCATTTGAAATTAATTTATCATTTTTCATCTCTCCAGCCCAACAATGTTGAAGCCGATTACTGTACATGAACTGGTGAAGTCAAACTGATCACTTAGCTCATCAGAGAACAAAAATGAAGAAAAGAATCTGTTGGTCTGTATAATTCAGTGCCAAAACATTAATAATGTATTTAGTCCTTTGAAAATTATAAATACATATTATTGACAGCCATTTATTTGCTCGGGGGCAATTGCCTTAAAGACATCCTCTTGGTTAAATTATGCATCCGTGACTTCCAACAGCAAAGCATCCTGAAGAAAGCCATATGGAATATCATAAATTTGGTGCAGGGTTGAAAGATTATGGAGGGTTTAAAGGGCTATGGAGAAAGATTTGAAGTGGTCACAAAGGAAATGGAAGACAATTTTTAAAAGGTGAAAGGATACTTATATCAGGCTTATGGTGCTCAAGGATAAAGGGGGATGTATAATTGGATACTGCTTTTCAGAAAATTAGCACATGACAGAGGGAGTGAAAATTAGGTGCTCCAGAAAAACAGACAGGACAACTGATAGAGGTAACTACTGAAAAGGATCTAGCTCTAAAATAAATTAACTAAACACAAAGTGAATCACCACTGACTGTGCGTATCCCAGGCAGTTGAAGGTAATTGAAGGAGATAGCAGAGATTTTGACAAAAAAACTTTTCAACATTCCTATAATATGCAGAAAGTGTCATAGCACTAAAGTGTAGCTTATGTGATATTTATAGTGCAGCAGATGATAAATCAAATATCTACAGATCAGTTAATCTAATGTTGATAATCTAATTTGAAATAAAATGACTAAGTGTTTAGAAAAGCAAGAGCTATTGATAGATAGCTAGCATGGATTTGTTAATTGTAAATCATGTTTGACAAATTTAACAGAGTATTTTGACGAGGCGACTGATTGCACAGATAAAAAGAATGCAGTAGATGTACTGACTATCAGTGAAAGAAATGCTGCATGGATTGAAGGAGGTTTGGAAGCAGCATATATCAGGAATCAATAAGACTCCGTAATTGTTCTTGGTTTGGACATAATTTGGAACGTGGTATAAGTAGCACAATTAAAATGTGTTGATGCCATAAGAGTTTGGGGGTTGGCAGACAATTTGGACACAGGAACAAACATACAAAATGCTGAAGAAACAGTCGGTCTGGAGCAGTCACAAAACTTTAAGCTTTGTTTCTTTTCTCCCCAGATGCTGCCAGACTTGCTGAGTTTCTCCAGCATTTTCTGTATTTGTTTCAGATTTCCAGCAACCATAGCATTTTGTTTTTAAGTGAGGACATAGGATCATAGGAAATCAGAGCAGAAGTAGATCATTTGGGCCCCTGACTCTACTCAGATATTCAATTAGATTTTTTACCTCTTCGCTATTTTCCTCCATTATGCCTTGATATCTTTAATATCTTGAACTCTATAAATCCTCATCTCTATGCTAAATGGCTTACCTCTTATTCTGAGGTGGTTTACCTAGTTCCAGAGCTGTCAGGTGAAATATTCCTCCTGCATGTACTCTGAAGAGCTCTGTAAGAATTTTGTATGATTCAATGAATTCATCTCTCATTCTTCTAGCTTTGACAGAATATAAGCATGGTCACCTCAATCTTTCCATCCCAGGAATCAGTCTGGTGAACATCTGTTGAAATCCCTCTCTGACGAGTATATCCTTCCTTAGGCAAGGGTACACAATTGAAATAGTCCAAGTACAGTCTCATAAAGACTCTTAAAACAAGATTGTTTTACTCCTGAACTCAAATCCTTTTGCAGTTGGCTTTCTAACTGTTGCTGAGCCTGCATGTTAGCTCTCAGTGACTTGTGAACCACATAGGTCCCTATGGATATTATCACTTCCAAACCTCTCAGCATTTAAGAAATTATCTTAATTTCTATTTATCTCTAAAAAGTGAATAATTTCACATTTTTCGCCATGTTCTTGCTCATTCACTTAGTCTATCTAAATCTCCTCAAAAGGCTCTCTGCATCCTCCTCAAAACTCAAATCCCCATTTAGTTTTGTGTCATTGGTAAACTTGGAAATATTATATTCAGATCATTGATGCAGATTGCTGACAGCTGGGGCCCAGCATGAGTTTTTGCAGTACCCTACTAATCACAGCCTCCCAACCTGAGAATGACATGTTTATTCTACTCAGTCACCAATTGTCAATCTATGCCAATATATAGTGTGGTTACGTTTGCCATCTTCCAATCTTCAGGAATCATTCCAGAACCTATCAGACTTTGGAAGATGACCAACAATGCATCTATTATTTCTGTAGCCAATCGAAACAAAGACCACAAGGGTAGAAATGTGATGATTAATTTGTACTAGACACTAGGTAAACTACAGATAGACCATACCACAGTGGAATGCAGAAACTTTTTTTGTGTCTTGTTCTTAGAAAGGATATTAAACCCACAAAAGAGGGTTCAGCATAGTTTCATCAGAATGGCTGCAGAATGGGAAAGTAATAGGAGACTGGACCCATTTCCACTAGAGCTAGGAAGAATAAGAGGAAACTTAATCAAGATTTTTTAAAATTATGAAAGCTGTTAATAGAAAAAAGAGTCAGCAACAAGCAATCATTTATTTAATATTAGTAGTAGAGAAAGAGACAGGATGAGAAAAAAAGCAAATTCTTAAATTGAGGGTTATTGGAGCACAGAATGATTCGCCAAAGGGAATGGTTGAGACAGTAAACGTTGCAACATTTGGGAGATTGATTGGACGATTACATAAATATCTGAGGGAGTTGAAGCTATGAGATAAGTGAAGAGAAGTGGGCAACAGAATTAGTTCCAGATTGCCTGAGCAAAGAATTGGCACAGATATGATGGACCAAATAGCCTCTTTCAGGGCTGTAAAATCGTTCAGTCCTGTTAGTTTGAAGCATTGTCACTTACCTGGGTCTATTACTGCAATGAGTTTCACCAACATCCCTTCAGGAAAAGTGTTAATGGAACATTGATAAAGGCCTTCATCTGCAGCTGTTGCTGTCAACTTTATATCTCCACTGATATGTGATGAGAGAAATATAACGCTCCGATTGTATGGAAAGAAAATGTGCTCTCCCCGTTTGGGATTATACACAGCAACTTTGTGCTTCACACCATCATCTTTCTTCTCCCAGGACAACTGGATCATTTTGCCCATCTCTGGGTATGCACATTTAAGCACGACTGTGTCCTGGAGTTTAATTATCAAGTCCACTTTCTGGTACTCCTTGCAAGTCACATCTGAAATATCGAAATTTTTCAAGGTTTACCACAGGAAGATATAAAAGTAGATTATTCACAATACATGCCTCACAATTTCACAGCTGACAATTACTAGCGAGAGAGGTAATTGTGGTTTTTGACTTGTTTCCAAGATGGAGCCTTCGAAAGAACACAGAAACATAGGAATTGCCACAGCAAAAGGAACAGAACACCACCTAGTTCATCATCCTGGTCTTCAGTTATACAGTGATATTGTCGCAATCAATATTTATCAGAGACCCAGAAATGACACAAAGCAAACCTTACAGTGGAGGGCTTAAGAAAAATCTGTGGCACATTGTTCCCAATGGTATAATTGGTAGTACTTTAGCTCGTATCCAGAGTTGGCTCTTAACCATTTACAATTACAATTTAAATTGTCAGTGGTTGAAATGAGAAAAACATACATGCAAACTATCATCAGGTAACAAATGCTGCAGCTACAAAGGAGCCTCCTGCACCTGCATTGAGGCTCTCTATCAAAGTCACAACTTTCCCACACAAGTCAATGACCTCAGTAATCTTATTACTTAATCAGTTCAACAAATCATTACTCTCGCTCCTCCCGAAAACTTATCCGTTCTATCACTCTCCACATTATTTCTTCCTATCCATTCACCAGATTCCCCTCCCAACACACACACACACCCAGCCCCCACCCTCACCCTCAAAACTATATTCAGGTCTTTCCCACATCACTCCTTTACGTTCCCAATCCTGAACTGTCTCTCCCTTGGATTCTTTGTCCAATAGTCCATGCTCCATCATCCACATGCCCTCTTCCCCCTGCTTGGCTGTGACTTGCTCTTACTGTTCCCAAGCCACTGTGCAAGCTGTCATTCTCTCGCTCCCCCAAGTCTGTGCCACAGTGTTCAACAAGGAAGATAAAAGACAAAGCTGCTTAAAATCAATTGGTACGGATGTCCTTTAAAAGAATGAGATAAACATGCTGTGAGAGGCCTGTGAGCCATTGACTTAATCTTGAAGGTTGAATTTAATTTCAAAATGTTCTGACATCACGGATATTCAGGGCATGTAATGTGTTACAGGACAATCAAATGTATTGTCAGGAACACAACGAGAGGGGATTGTGACACCAGACCCACCATTGCTACCCCATTGACTAAGTATCAACATTTCAATCTTGACCAGGAAACCAAAATTTTGGATTTGGCAGCATCTGTGGAAAAGGGGAAATAGAGTTCTCAACAAGGGTCATACTGGACTCAAAACATAACTCCCTTTCTCTTTCAACAGACCTGCTGAGTTTCTCCAGAATTCTCTGTGCTTGTTTCAGGTTTCCAGCAACTGCTGTATTTTGCTTTTAAACTGAAATTTTCTGTCTTATTGCCCACGCATTACTTGGCCCAATCTTACTGCTCCCACAAATATGATTGCCTCTCCATTCCCTCCCAATATACGTCCAAAATAACCCTGCATGCTGACGTACAATATGTCCTGTTTCACATTACCTGTAAACCACATCCCAAAATGTTATTTCCTGAAATAAATCAATCAAAGCTGCATTTAAATAATTCTTGCTATCTGCTTCCATCATCTCCCTAAGGAATTTGTTTCAGAGATTGACTATTAGATCACTGAAATATTGTTTCTGCAGATTAGGTTTAAATCTATTCCATTCAACTGCAGGCAGTATATCATCTACTTTTGCTGCAATTCACGTGAAATAGTTTATCATGGTCTACATTATCTAGTAATTCACAAAAAGGAATTTACTTCTAAACAACAGCTTTTGAGGTTGTCTGAGTAACACCTGCAATTAGGTCCAAACTAAATTTCTGCATTGCTTACCTTCATCCCACATTCATGGTTAAACTCAAACCTAGATTACACTGGTGGAAGGTTAGTGTGTTAATCCGCATAACCAACTGGCTACCCATGTCCAAGGTACCATTTAAAATCTAACTCTTATAGAGTAATTAATTTTAATATCGTCCATAGGCAGTGAGGCACACATAATGTTAAAGTTATTCCTTGAACAACTGATTTTTCCTTACTTCTTCATTCACATCACCTATTGTTCAAAATTTACTATAACATTATGACTGTAAATAGCTTAGAGGGAATGTTTCAGAATCAGAATAGGTGCGGGAAAACAGGGACATGGGACAAAGAAACAAGGAGCATGACCACTTAAAGATATAGTGGCATATGCCTCAAGATGAGCAAATGCGACTCCAAAGCAGAGAAATGTTTCAAGCAATGCAGTGTTTAAAATACAAGCTAAGGATCCTTAGAAATGCAGTGCTAAAAATTAGTTTCTGTTCTTTATGCAAATAGTTTCATTATGCAATTAATGAAGTATATGATGCATGTTTTGAAATATTTGATAAAATTCTTATGTTAATGTTTGGAAGGCCTCAACAAAACAACAGCAAGATAAAGAGATTGGGAATCCTTTCAATGATACATTGATGAAACCAAAGAATTATATTTCATTATGACATGGCAAACAAACAACAACTGATGAGGTTCAAAATAGTTGCAGAATAATACAGATGGAAGCTAACCAGCCCCTCCTCCTGCACATTCCTTTGAAAGGACTATACAGTTAGTTTCGTTATAAGTTATGTTGCTTACACAACAGCAATGAAATTGAACTAAAGAGACTGGTAGAATTATAAATATTAACATTCTGAAAAGTGGAGGGGGTCTGAGGTCTAATTTTATATACCTCAATCAGATCAACCCCACTACCTCAGCCTCCTCTGCTCCAAGGAAAAGAAAGCCTATTCAATCTGTCCTTAGAACTGAGGCTTTTCATCACAGGCAATATCCTGGTGAATCTCCTGTGCACTCTCTCCAGCATAATCACATGCTTTCGATAGCGTGGCATTCAGAACTGCACACAGTATTCTACCTGTGGCCTAACCAATGCTCTATAAAATTGCACCAATTTTTTTCCTGTTCCCAAATTCAGGGTAGAGTCCTTAGCCCAAACATCTTTGGTTGCTTCATCAATGACATTCCCTGCGTCATAAATTTGGAGCTGGGTATGTTCGTTGATGACTGCACACTGTTAAACCCCATTCACAATTCCTTAGATTTTGAAGCAGTCTGTGTCCATACACAACCAGAAATGGACAACATCTAGGCTTGGGCTGATAAGTGGTAAATAGTAAGTGTGTCACACAAGTGCCAGGTAATGACTGTGTTCAACACAGCAGAAGCTAACCACCTTCTCTTGACATGTAACGGTATTACTATTGAATTCCCCAGAATTGGCATTCATTACATTATCATTAATTGGAAACTTAAAACCAGAACCACAATTATCTTGGCTGCAAAAGCAGCTCAAAGGCTGAAAACTGTATGGCAAATATCTCAACTCATCAAAATCTGTCCAAGACACTAGTCAGAAGATAGAAAACTCTTTATTTGCCTGAATGCATGTAACTCCAACTCAACGAGGTCAAACATCATCCAGGACAAAGCACTTCATCCACTACCTTCAACATTCACTCCCTCCACTGCTGATACACAGTGACAGCAATGCATACCATCTATAAGATGCACTGCAAGAATTCACTAAACTTCTTTCAACAGCATTGTCCAAACATATGACATCTACCATTTAGAAAAACAAGTGCAGCAGAGGCGTCGGAATACCATCACCTGCATATTCCACTTCAAGCCTTGAAATGCACAAGATTCTAACTGTGATAGAAAGAATCCTTCCTTTTGTGGGAGAGTCTAGAAGTAGGGGTCATTTTATAAATAAAGGGTTGTCTATTTGAGACAGAGATTAGGAGAATTTTCTTCTTGACTGCAAATCACACATTTTGGGAGGCCTAACAAGAGAAGGATATGCACAATGTATGGTAGGTCCCTGAGGAATAAGGGACCTTGGTGTACAACTCCATAGATCCCTGAAGGTGTCTGTACCCTAGATAGAGTAGCGAAAAAGGCATATGGGATACTTGCCTTTGTTAGCCAGGGCACAGAATATAAGAGCCAGAAAGAGTTGTTGCAACTGTATAGAGCATTAGTTAGGCCACGGGCAGAATACGGTGTGTAGTTCTTGAACCCACACTATTGCAAGTACACGACTGCACTGGAGAGAGTGCAGAGGAGATTCACCAGGATATTGAGATAACAGAGGAGCAGGAAAGCTGATGTTTCGGGCCTGGAGCTCCTCTGATGCTGCCTGACCTGTTGTGTTCATCCAGCTCTACACCTTGTTATCTCAGACTCCAGCATCGGCAGTCCCTACATCTCTTCACCAGGATATTGCATGGAATGAAAAGTCTCAGTTATGAGGAAAGACTGGATAGGCTGGGTTTGTTTCCCTTGAAGCAGAGGAGGCTGAGGTGGAATCTGATTGAGGTATACAAAATTATGAGAGACATAGACAGAGTAGGTCTTGAGAAGCTCTTAAGATATATCTCTGAGAAAGACAGAGACTATTAGTTTAAGGTGAGGATTACAAGGTTTAGAGGGGATCTGAGGAAAATGTTTTCATACAGAGGTTGGTAGAAATACGTGCTGCCCGAGAGGGTGGTGAAGGCAAGTACTCTCACAAAATTTCGAGAAGCATCTGGATGAGTATTTAAAATGCCAGGACATAGTAGGCTACGGAACAAGGGCAGGCAAATGAGATGAGTGTAGTTTGGTGTTTGTTGGTCGGCATAGACATGGTAGGCCAAAGGGCATGTTTCTATGCTGTATGATTCTATGACTATAAAGATTGAGGGTCTTTGAAATTCTCTTCCTCAAAAAGCAGTGGAAGCAGAGTCTTTGAATATTTTTAAGGCAAAGATCGATAGGTTCTGAACAAGGGGGTGAAAGGTTATCCTGAATAGATAGGAATGTGGAATATTAGATCAGGCTGTTTTTATTAAATGCCACAGCTGGTCAAGAGGCCGAGTGGCCTACTCCTGCTTCTAATTTGTGTATTCCTATATAAGTCAAAGACTTTCCTGACTTGGAGATATATTGTCATTCCTTCACAGTTGCAG